GTAGCAAAAACCAAGTCGTCTACATACACGAGAACGTAGAACGGCGGCAGAGTGGTGTCGGTGCGTAGAAACAGCGACGGGTCAGCAGTGGAAGGAGCAAACCCAAGAGCAGCAAGAGTCGTCCTCAGTGTGTCGTGACACTCACGGGGTGCCTGGCGGAGACCGTAGACTGGCCGCCGGAGGCTCCACTGAGTACCTGCAGGAAACGACCCAGTCAAGCCAGGTGGGCGGCGCAGCCAGATCTCCTCGTGCAGGCTGCCCTGTAGGAAGGCTGTGCTGAAGTCAAGAGAGTGTAGCTCGTAGTCACGCTGAGCGGCGACGTGCAGCAGCACCCGAAGAGTGGTCATCTTCGGGGTAGGAGAGAAGGTCTGGAAGAAGTCAACTCCCTGTCACTGACTGAAGCCTCGTGCAACGTAACACGCCTTGAAGACAGGCGGAGAACCCGGCGGAGACATGTTGAAGGTCTGAAAATCCACATGCCACTGACGATGTTCGCCCCAGGCGGGGGAACCTCGTCGACGTAGGTGCCTGTAGACTTCCAGGAAGCCATCTCTGTGTCCATGACTGTCTGCTACTGAGAGGAGTAGGGACCCTCTATCGCCTCTGCGTAAGAGCGCGGGGTTGGGATGTCTGGTGCATCCGGGTCTCCCTCAGGGGCAAGCAGCATGAACACGAGATGAGGTAAAGCAGCGGCAAAGCACTCAAACTCCTCGTGTCTGTCCTCGAGGACGTCCGTGCCAAGAGCACACTTACCCCCGACGGACGGAGGACAGACAGACGCAGACTCAGACTCAGCAACAAGACTAGCGGCGTAGTCGAGACGACAGGCGGCAGCAAAGTCAACAAGCTCAGCAACAAGAGCAGACGCAGTAGTGGACTCAAACGAAGGGTCAGTAACAACAGTGGCCAGAAAACGCGTAACAGTAGGACTAGCAGCACGAAGGGAGTCAGACTCCGGGTCCGGACCGACAGGAAGAGAGGACGTAGGAGGAGACGGCAGAGGGACTCGCTGTGGAGCAGTGGAAGGCGAAGAGTCATATAGTGAGTGCCGGGGATAGGAGGAGGACGATGATGCGGAACACGTCGACCAGTGCGAGCAGCTCGAACAGGCGACTCAGGATGAGACTCGGGTGACGCAGGACGGGACTCAGGCGACGCAGGACGAGACTCATGGAGATCGATGAGGTCTCTAGAGTCTGCGCTGCAATCTGAAATGTCGAAGTTTATGATGTAAACGCCGTTGTCAGGGCGCGCTTTGCCGATGTATTGGCCTGGAGCATCAGGGCTGCTGTTGTCTCGCCAGTGCATAAGGATGCACCTGCTTTCTAGGTCTGTGGTCATTTCAACCTCACTCTGGACGAGCTGCTCGTAAGATAGAAGGTTGTATTTTAGGTCACGTACGATGAGCATGTCGTTGGGTGTGATATGCAAATTGTTGTTGTGTGCTTTGAGGACGATAATGCCGCACGCCCTTGCTTCGAACTACTGATTGTTAGCCACTTTGACACGGTGGGTTGTGGGATGGGACGCGCATTGGAGATGAAGCGCTTTGACTCCATCATGTGCTGTCCGCGTCATCTGTCAAGGTACCATGTGTAGTAGGCGTCATCACACGTGTTCTGCGCTGAGAGGGCGAGATTCGGGATGTTGCAAAAGGGGATATGTGAATGGGCCTGGTGTTGATGTATTTACCATAGAAGTAATCGTGAATGGTGGGCGAGTCGATAGAATCTTTGTCGTGCGGTCGTGACTCAAGCAGAGGGATCGGCAGGTCCCAATCTTATTCATGTTTGTCAGAGACGAAATCACCATCTGTCGTGAAGGGGTTGTTGTAGCTCTCGTGCAGGCGCTAGAGGTGAGACGTGACCCAAGTGCCTCCGATTTGTTCCCCATGTGCGACGATGAGTGCGCATCGCCATGTTTCCGATGACGTGGCGAACGTTGACGTTGTACGGAGGCATTTGCAGGTCTGACCGAGAAGTTTGGCGTGGGGCAGACCGATGGTCCGAGGACGGTCGACTTGCCTGGCGCAACTGCTCAGTTCCGGGGCTCGGGTTGCTGCGCGGTGCGGAATTGTGACGCAGCACAGAGCTGACAAAAAATCATGCAATTTTTGCAATAGTATTGACGCGGACGTGGGTCGCGAGATCGTCGCTAATCGCGGCTGGTGTAGAAGGCGATTTGGCTCGTCGCGAACAACTTTTTATTGGTTAAAATACATGTCTTGCTATTCTTGCAGGAGTGTGGTGCATAGATGTGCTTCTGAGATGGTGCCTTGCTGGCGAAGCAAAGATTTGTCGGGTTTCCAGTCGGGTCCTAGTCCCTTGAGGACGATTGTGACGAACATGTCATCGAGGATTGAGTTTCCTAACTTTATGTGTTGATCGTAGACGCTGCGGTAGCGATTGCTATAAGCGTTTGCCTTTTTGCCAGGCATCACTTTAACCTCCATGAGTTGCTGGAGGAGGTGGCTCGAAGATACGGAGTCTTTGGGCTGGTAAGTCTTAGTAAGATAATTCCAGGATGACATGGTGGGGGCCGGATTGGTTTTGAACGAGCGTATGCTGAGTTGTTCGCCTGGCGACATGTTGCGTAACAGGATGATGTACGCCATAAGTAATTCGTTATAATACTGAGCTTTTGCTTCATCGGTGTCGCTGGTGGGACCTTTGTAGCTTCCGTCGAAGAAGCAGCATATTTGAGCGCTTTGGAAAAGCTGTTCGAAACTCCAAGTGTAAAAACCCCGCCCGTTGAATGCGCTTCTTGTGCGGATCTTGGAGATGGCCAGAAACTTGTTTTGGGCCGTGAGTACGGCTTTGTCACTTGGACGGTAAGTAGTTGGAGCAAGTGAGTTTGACCCGATATTGAAAGTGGTTGGGGCCGGTTCCTTGTTAGGAGCAGTCGGTTGATCGGGTTGTTGCAAGATTTCCGGGTTGCCGTTCTTCAACCGTTGGGTTCCTGACTCAATGAGTTGCTCCTGTAGCGCATTGTTGACAGTAGTATTTGCCTCAGAGTTCGCACTTGGGTTGGCAGGAACTTCGGCAGTGGGAGCCGCCTGCCCACCAATCCTCCAGCCATGTTTCGGTGGGAGCGCGTACCGGACGCCACCTTGAATTTGAATTTGAATCAGAGCTGGCGATGCAAAGAATCCTGAGTGGCCCTCATACAATTTTACAGTCTGAAATGACGCGTTCATATGATCGTCTCAGGTTCATCGCATAGGAGTGTAGCAACGGAAGTTTACTAGTGAGGTCGGGTACGGACCTTGTAAGGAGAAGGAGAATTGAATCCTGATAGATGTTACTATTGCATTGTGGTACAAGGGTTTATATAGGAATACAGGGGAATACGAAAGGTCCTAGCTAGCCATGTACCCTGAGGGGGTACATTCCCCTTAGGGCTAATCTAGATCAGGAAAACCAACCGTATGGTCCGGTAACAATAAACTGTCAAAATCGTAACTAGCTAAGCTTAGGAGCCATAGCTAGGTTGCGAGAGAGGTGAGAGGCAAGGAGGGTCGAGAGGAACATGTCGAGAGAGGTTTGTCAAAGAGCGGTTCAAATAATGAACAAGGGTACAAGATATAGGCAAAAGAGGAAACAATTGTACACCACCTGAAAGATCTCATAACTACACTAGGTTATACTGCAGGCAGTTATAAATGTAAACGAATACATTTCAACATAAATGCCACCGTATCAGGTTAAAAGTATTTTTTGCGCTTGCACTTCGAATTCTTCCTGCTTTCAACCATCTTCGATAACTGTTTGTGTCGCTCGGTTTTCGTTCTCGCTGCAATCATCTTCGCGTTAGGGTTTCATTACTACAAGAATGTTATGCAACAATTCCATATCGTAGCAAGGGGCTCAGAGGACAAATTACAACGGGGACTTCTATCAGTGGAATGACTGTAATGTTAACATAATCATATGTATATTAGTTGCTGTGGAGAACTTCAAGAGCATGATTCAGGTAAACCTGCTCAAATCGCCTAAGGAGTTTCCTGGACCTTTTTACACCTGCTTTCATTCCAGGCGGTGGCTTGGGCGGTTTCCTGCTCCCACAATTGCCCTTACCCTTATCCTTCCCCTTACCCCTCTGCCTCTCTCTGCGACTTCTCAGCTTCCTCCCTTTTCGCCCCCGCCTTTCTCTCCTCTTCCACCCGCTCTCTCATCTCTGTGAACTCATCCTCCTTTGCCCTCGCCTTGCCCTTTGCAAGCTGCTTTCGCTCCTCCCACTCTCTTGCATTCTCTTTCTCTGTCTCCCTCTTCACCCCACTCGCTTCCCCCCTCTTTCTTCTCCCCACTGGCAGCCCCCCTTGTCTTCTCCCCTTCCTTTTCCCCTTCATCGCTCCCTTCCCCCGTCCCTACTTTGAATTGTTACCACTATCAGCCCCCCCAGCATCTCCTCTCTTCTCCGACCATTTCCCACTCCTACGGGATGAGCCTGAGTGAGGGGCTGACGTGGTGTTGGATGGAGTAACAGGGCTACTGCTTTCTGTGGTGGAGTGTTTGCAGCTGCTGCAATCGATTTTTCAGCTTCTTTGCAGCAGCTGCTGCAGCTTCAGCGGCAGAATCGGAAGCAGCAGCAGCATGCCACAACTCTAGCGATGGGCAGCAAGAAGGGTTGGCTCGCGTTAAGGATTGGATGAGCCCGTCCATTGAGGGCAGCGAGGTCTTAGGTTCGTGTTCTAAACAATTCAGGGCTGTGCTATCCGCACGAGTACATTATCACCCACATTGCATGTAATCGATCTTGCATCTGACTGACCGTCTCCTCCGCTTAACTGTCATCGCTGCGTGCCTCTTCTCACCGTTTCTCACCGTTTAGCACTTCTCTCGATCGAATTCATGGAGATCTATCGTCACCATCAGCAACAACAGCTTGATTCCACGCACTGTTTACCCGAAACCCTGGCCTTCACTTTACCTCCCCTTCGTTCTCCATCGCATGTGTGGTTCCTCCGGTTTTGGTCGGCGGTCTTCAAGTGGGACAGTGGCCTATTTGGGCGCAAGCACAGCATCGCTTTCCCTAATAGCGCGGCTGCGCTGTCCACGTGCAATGCCAAGGTCGTTGGCATTCGGGTCGTGAAGCCCACACGCTAGGTGAAAAGGTCCTACACGCTTTCACAGCCAGCTTTGTTTTTCAGCACGGCTGGAAAGGGCTGTTACAGTGAAGGACTGGGAAGGAAATGATCGCCAATGTAAATTGAGGCTGCATCTCTCCTCTCTCCCATACCTGCTTGAGCCTCATCTAGTGCTCCTTTGCTGACTTGATGATGCCTTCTTCTGTATGTTCCGATGCCCGCTTGATCCTGATCTGGCTGCCGTCTGAAGCTAGTTTGCCTGGTTGAGGTTGCTTGCATGTACCAACGGGTTTAGGTTGCTTGCATGTACCAACCCTGGATGTGATGCTATACTAGTAAAACCAGGTGTTGCTAAGGGGGGTTTTATTGTTGGTGGGCGAAGACGAAACACTTGAAGAATCGAGCTTACCAAACCCCAATAATGCAAGCACTTTTCAGACACCACTGGATACCACAATCATGTACCCCTCAACAGAAGCTTATGTTACAGGCCGTGGAGAACTTGAAAACAGACTAGACTACACCTTGTCAAATCACCTAAGGCCTTTCCTGGGCCTTTCCTGGGGCTTTCTTTCCAGGCAGTGGCTTGGGTGATTTCCTGCTCCCCCCTTTGCCCTTCCCCTTGTCCTTCCCCTTACCCTTCTCTGCCTCTCTCCTCGCCCTCTCCGCTTCCTCCTTTTTCGCCTTCTCCTCTGCCTCCCTCGCCTTTCTCTCCTCTTCCTCCTGCTTTCTCTTCTCAGCAGTCTCCTTCTTTTCCCTCTCTCTGCCCTTTGCAAGCTGCTTCCTCTCCTCCCACTCTCTTGCCTTCCTCTCTTTCTCTGTCTCCCTCTTCACCCCACTCGCATCCCCCCCTTGCTTCTCACCGCTGGCAGCCCCTGCTGTCTTCTCCCCCCCCGCCCCCTCTCCCTTCTCCCCCCCATTCTTCCCTCCCTGTACCGCTTCCTTTCCCCCTCCCTGCTCTGACTTGTTACCACTATCAGCCCCTCCAGCGTCTCCTCTCTTCTCCGACCATTTCCCACTCCTACGAGATGAGCCTGGGCGTGAGGCTGACGTGGTGTTTAATGGCATAACAGGGTTACTGCTCTCTGAGGTGGAGTTACCGCTCGCACCAGCAGCACCAGCAGCAGCAGCAGCAGCAGCAGCAACAGTTTCAGTAGAATTGTTTGATGGCATAACAGCAGCACCGTTCTCTGAGGTGGAGTTACCGCTCGCAGTACCAGCGTTGGCAACTGCTGCAGTCGAATCGTCTGCTTTCTTCGCAGCAGCTGCAGCAACAGCAGCAGCGGCGGCGGCGTCTTTCTGGATCTTCGCCCATTCATCCAGAGCTGGGAGTAGCACAAACACCAGGGAGCAAGAGCAAGTGGAGGAGGAAACTGACATTGAGTTAACGGGCCTTTGAATGAACCAGTCAGGTTTTGTACATGAGGCCAGCATAGTCTGTGAAGAACCGATGAACCTTGAACCAGGTGAAACCAATGGAAGCGATGGCTGAGCAAGGGAGGAGATTCGAAACAAAATTAAAACACTTGCAGAGAGGAAAAGAGAAAGGGAGTCCCTGCTTATTGCAGCCTTTTCTTACCAGTGCACTGGCTCTTCACCATGTCCGCACCCATGTCCCGGTTGACACAGTAAGGGTGGTTGTCACACCGATGCATTGAGGACCAGCCACATCCATTCGTGCTCCAGCTCTCACAGAATCCAAAATCCTCTTCATGCAGCCATTGCCTGCTGCTGCTGCCATCCCCACCAGCTGACGTGGCAGATTTGTTTGCTGACGCGGGATCCATGCTGACGTGGCAGTCGATGACACCATTGCAGAAGCGGGAATATTCTACGCACTGAACACCGTTGGGACACTTTTCGTAGTACGGAAGGCACAAAAATCTATTGCACACCTCGGGATCCTCGTCATCAGCATAAGCAACTCCATTAGCAGCACCTGTGCTTCTATTACTGTAGTTACTGTAATCAATACAGTCCTGTACCCCATCGCACCACTGTGCCAATGGCAGGCACCGACCAGTAGAAGGGCACTGCTTAGTGCTTATCCAGCTGAATGAACAGTCAAATGAGCGGCAGAGAAAAGGGTCCTCATCCGCTGTGTAAGGCATCAGGGTAGGCGAACCGATAGTGGCTGATGAGCTTGCACTGAAAGGCGAGCCGCCAGGTCTAACCACCCCTGGCGCAGCAGCATCTGAGCCTTCAGTTACACCATGCATCCCCTGAGCTGCAACATCGGCTGCACTGGCGGTTACCGGGCAGTCGTTCTTGCCGTCGCACCTCTGACGTTCCTCAATACACAGGGTGCTTCCGGTGCACTTCCAGCATCCATATGAGCAATTGTGGCTCTTGCACATCGCCGGATCCTCGTCATCACTTAAAGCCGATGCTTCCGTGCCTGTATTGGCCAAAGCAGCAGCAGCAGCAGCACCAGTGGTGGCCCCTTCATCATCATCCCCTAAAGGACAATCGTTCTTCCCATCGCAAACCTGTGAGATATGAAGGTACACATCGATCCACACACCCCCCTCCTCTTCATACCCGGGAACAATCACTTTCTGCTGCCGCTGGCACTTGAAGTCCCATTCTCCTTCGTAAAGCACACTTCGGGATTCTCGTCCTCGCCGTAAGGCAGGGTCTGATTCGTTACAGGGTGCTTCATTAGTGGGCATTCGTCTTCGCCGTCGCATGCCCGCACACACTTGTTGGTTTCGGTGCAGCGAACCTGGTCCGAGTACTGACAGCCAGGCCCACATTGCTCGTCTGGGTCGCTGTGGGGATCCACGCAGCAGAAGCCCGAGCCATAGGTGATGTTGCACGACCAGAGGTCATCACACACAGCCTGGAGAGGCAAGAAGTGGGAAGCGAGGAGATTTATGTGCATGAAGTGGGCTCGGGAGAGAAAGGAAGGAGTGACAGAGGGGAGGAGATATTGAAAGAGGAGCGATTTGGAGTGGAAAGAGTTGAGTGATAAGATTGGAGAGGAGAGAGTGGAGAGGAGAGAGTGGGAGAGGAGAGAGTGGGAGAAGAGAGAGTGAGAGAGGATAGATTGGAAGGGGAGATGGTATCAGGTGAGAGGATGTGAGCAGAGTGATCAACGGGAGATAGTTAGCAGAGGACTGAGTGGCTGAGAGTGAGAAACACAGTCGGAAAGATTTAACGGGAGAGAGAGAGAGAGAGAGAGAGAGAGAGAGAGAGAGAGAGAGAGAGAGAGAGAGAGAGAGAGAGAGAGCCAAATCAGGAGGCGAGGGTCACTACTGGGAATTTTATGCATAAAAGGCCAGAGATTGCGGCTTACATAGGTGTTATGTCGCTGCGCACACATCCATTCCTCCTGCATGCACGGCTCGTTCTCACCCCGGCAGTACTTGCCACCAGGTGCCCCATTGTCAATACACTCCCTCTCTCCAGGCCCACACCCGTCGCTGCTTCCATTGGTGCTCAAGCCGCCGCTGGTATCATCTGAAGCGCTGATGTCACTGCTTGTGTCGTCGCTGTCAAAAAAGTCCCAATTGGGATCCTGTGCCGCCACCTTTTGAGGTTGGGGGAGAGGCAAGAGTGGGTGGTTGTCAAGGAGGGGAAACAAGGGAGGCAAGAGGTGTGGGGTAAGAGAGCGAGTAATATGGAAGGATCCACTGAAGCTTGGGAATGTGAGCTGAAGACAGGTCAAATCTGTGGAGCTAACATGAGATGCGCGGACAAGCTGGAGTGGGAGTGGGAGAAGGCGGTGGGAAGGGAGTTTAGTTAAATATTTGGCTGGGCCTCCAGGGTCCTGTTGCCGAGCCCCATCCAGGATTCTGTGCTGCCACCTTTGGAGATGGGAGGGGCAGAGTGGGGAAGGATGGGAGAATAATGGGGTTCCCTGGCGAAAATCCCTAAATCTGTGAGTGGGGACGAGAGAAGGAAGAGTGGGGAGCCTCAAAGACAGGTCAGAGAGGGGGAAAAGGGGCTCTTGGGACAGAGGAACAGAGGAAAAGGGGAACGGCGGCTGTCGAGAGGCGCGTTACCTCTTCGTCCAGTGTGGACAGCGCTGACGTCAGCAACGCCAGTAGGAGCGCGAGAAGCAGCCACGAAACCGCAGGTAACGACCTGAACGGCAGTCTCTGTGCCATTACTAATGGTATTAGTATTATCTGACTGCCACGATCCGTCCCGCGTTAGCGTTTTCGTTACTTCGACTCGGAGGCGCCGTTGAGCGGATGAATTCCGATCGGAAGAAAAAGTCACGTTTTAGGGTTTCGGGGTGTGACGATCTGGCAGTGACACTGACAGCACAACTAAAATTGTCGCTTATAACCGAGTGTAATAAAGAGCGATATTCAAAACGAGTAACGGCGGGCTACAGCTTGAGATTATTGCGAAACAAGGAATGATCGAGAGGAAGAGATAGTACTAGAACTGCCAGTTGTAGAAAGTAATGGAAAACTGGGTCGGGTACACACACAAATGGAGGGGGAAGTGGGCCTTGGAGAAATGTGACGGAGCGCATCAAAGAGAGATTACCCCTTCCCTTGCTGCAAACCTGAGGTTGGTGGTGGCGCGGACTGACGCCCTCTGACCCCCGACGACCCCAGCGGAGGAAGGTTTAGCCCTGGATGGAAGGCGCCCACCTAAGTGCAACACTCGCAAGTAGATTTCAGGAGAAACAGCGTTGCCAGTTTCAGGGGATTTGATGAGGTCGCGGAAGTCAACGCGATAATTCATTTGTGCGAAAGAGAACGAATGTGCGAATGTTACGTTACTAACTATTTATACATGCATGTATTTGTTATGAGTTGTAAGCAAGCTTGCGCATGATTTAAACGAAGCTGAGACTAAATGAACTGACAAGCAGTAACATAGGAGGCTAAAAACGGGGAAATTTCAGGAATTTGGGAAAGGCGCAGGTTGGGGAACTGATTGTATAAGAAGACGATGCGTGGTATGGATTTTTTTGGCATTCCTTACCGCGTGCTTCACCGCGATTTTTTCGGCATTCCTTCGGCATAGATCTGAACACCGCAACGCGATCGGCTTTGAACAATCTATGTCGTCGAACAACCTTTGATGTGTTGACGCGACATAGATCTGAACAACAGAGTCGTCAGTCCCACCACCACTAGGATGCGCAGCATCCCCATAGTCAGCACCCCAAGTCTCAGCACCCCCAGAACCCACACCCCCAATCTCGGCACCCCCAGTACCATCACCCCTAGTCATAGCACCCCCAGGACCAGCACCTCCAGAGTCCTCACCCCCAGTGTCACCACCACCAGCAGCACCAGAGTCCACAGCTACAGGTTGCGGAAGCGGCGAAGACAGTCGAGGCGGAAAACCAGGAGGGGTCTCCAAGCGTGGAGAGCGGCGAGTGGCTGCCGTGTCGTCAGCAGCAGGGTCACCCCCCTCAGCTGGGCCAGAGGTGTCAGAGGAGACCTCCAAAGGCTCAACCAAGGGGGGTGGGTCTACCTGAGACACACCTAAGGGAGCAGGACCCTGAGGGGGGAGGGGGTCTACCGGGGAGGGAGCTGGAACCAGGAAGAGGAGTGGCGGGGGGACTGGGTGGGACGCGTGCGGGTGGAGACGGTATAAGCAAACCGGCTCGTCAAAGGTGACGTCCTGGGAGGACAGGACTCGACGCGAGGCAGGGTGGTGAAACTGCCAAGACGGGGCGTCGGTGGGGAAGCCAAGGAAGATGCAGCGGAGAGTGCGAGGAGAGAGCTTGCTCGCGGTGGTATCGCGGACAAGGGAGAGCGCGCCCCAGACCCGAAACGCCGACGCATCACCAACTTCCCCCGTCCAACGTAGCGTGGGCGAGGTCTCTGGCACAGAGACACGGGGCCAGAGGTTGAACTGATGCGCAGCGTATCAGACAGCAAACGGCCACAAAAAACTGGGAGCAACCACATGGATCATGGAGGTACGAGCAACCTCCATGATCAAGCCAATGCGACGCTCAGCAATCCCATTCTGCTGCGGAGAGGCCGGAAGCGTGAACGTCTGGGCGATGCCCTCGTCTCGACAGAACTCCGCAAGGAGGCAAGAAGAGAACCCACCGCCCCTGTCAGAGTGCAGACGCAGGACTGGAAGGTTCCGCCGAAACCGCTCGCGCAGTTGGCGACGAGTAGCACGGATCCAGGGGATCAAAACACCGCGGACGTCCGCCTTGCTCCGCAAGGGGAAGACCGTGGTTTAGCGCGTGTAGTCGTCAATAACCAGCAGAAAGTAGAGCTCCTGCTCTGTCCCACGGACGGGGGCCGAGCCCCATACGTTCATGTGAAGAGTCTGCAGGGGAGCAGTGGACGGAGGAAACGAGGAGTAGTGAGGAGCGGCGCGCTGCCGCCCCTCGACACAGGGAAGGCACGGTGGGGCAAGCGAGCGCGGGAGGGGGGGCAGGGACCTGGGAAGGCCAGAGACAAGGAGACGGGAGTGCATGCTGCGTAGACGCGGCAGAGAGGGGTGACCTAGTTGGTGGTGCCAGAGGAGAGTCTGCTGGGAGAGTACTCGACACAAGCAAGATGCTGCAAGCTGACCAGACGCACACATCTGACGCGATGCGGCCACCTGACCTGGCGCAGCCACCTGTGCAGACGCAGTGGTCAAGGTGTACAAACTGGACACAGGCTGCCGAGTGAACGTAGCGAGGCGACGGCCACTCCGGGAGCACGTACAGATCGCCACACGCTGCCCCCAAGGGGTATCAACCCATACATCCTAAAGGTCTGCGTTGCTCACCAAGTTCGTCGAGAACGAGGGGAGGTGGAGACCTGGAAGAGAGCCAGAGGTGACTGCAACACACGGGAGGACAGTG